GCCCCGCCCCCAGGAACCCCCCCAGAGATCCAAAACCCCAATACCCCAATACCATACTCACAACACACATACCAACAATACTCTAGTCTTTGTTTATTGAAACAATCTTATTTAAACTCTTCAACTCTGATAGTGGCTCAAAATAATCTAAAGAAACATCTGATTCTTCTCTAATTATTGTAGCATCGCTCTGTTTACATGCAGACATTCCCCTTTGACATCACTTCCTGTTTCTTCACATGCAAATATCTCAACAACTCTTCATCTCAGCGGTGTGAAATTTGTTTTGCAATATGTTATTAATGCTCTTTTTACAAAAACGCATTCACATTTATTACAAAAATTTGATGTCACAGGCACTTTAAGCACTTCTTTAAAGGTTTGATCTAGATTTGTAATGTTTACCAAAACTCTTCATCGATAATTTCTCCCTTTGTCAAGGTTTGCTCCGGAGTCTCTGAACAACAAGTTCTCCGTGGCGTCAGATGTTTGGAGTTTTGGCGTTGTCCTCTACGAGCTTTTCACCTACAGCGATAAAAACTGCGCCCCACCAGTGGTACAGCAACAGTTCATTCTAGCTGACTTGTCTTACGGCCAGATCTTGATGTTTTTGCTGTTTATGTCAAAATATCTCACAAACCAGTGAACAGATTTTATTGAATGTCATCGTTAGTTTTGTTGTCATTCAATCTTTTATTTTATTTTGTTTTTACTAAAACCAGAAACCTCTGTGTTGTAGATTTTCATGGAGAATATGGGGAATGAGAAGCACGGCCACATGATCCTGGTTCATTTTTTTTCTCTGTTGAAAAATGGATTCAGGCTGCCTGCTCCTGACAGCTGTCCAAACGAGGTCGGTAACTTTTTTTTTTCCAAACCACAGAATCTGAAACTCCGCTTTATTTTTCTGTTCTCTTTTTAAGCATGTCATACGTCATTGTGACTGCTTTGATTCGCTTCCTCAGATTTACAAGCTCATGCTGGACTGCTGGAGCTTTGACCCGAAGTCGCGGCCTACGTTTAAGACTTTAGTCCAGCGGGTGGAGGCTGTACGAGGCAGCAAGGATGGATGAGTTGCCACCGATTCCCGAACCTTTGACCCGTCGGTGTCGACGTACGCGAGTCGGACGTCGCTGAGCAAAGAAATAGCGTGCTTTGCTGCAGCAAATGATCTGAATGAAGAGGGAACGCTACAGCCAACACAAAAAAACGAACAAAAAAAAGTCTTTGTGGCGATTACATCTAGTTTTTGTTACGTTTTGTTGGACTGGAGCAAGCACTGTGCAGCAGTTACYGTTTACTCTTAAGGAAGAACAGTTTAGTCATCATTAATAAACAGAGGTAGTTTTATTATGTGACTTACCTTGAAATGAAGAAATGTCGCTGCCTTTTAGCTGAAGGCGCAGCTTCAGACTGAAACTGAGCAGGCTTCCTCCCTGCTGACAAACCTCCCAATCATCTTTGACTTTTTAAAGACAAAGAAACAAAATGTTTCTGTTAGAAGCAGACCCATCGTATGGATCTGTTTTAGTGGTTTTCGGGTCGATTTTTTACTGTTGCAACAAAAGAAAAAAAACTGCCTTTCTGAAAGTGTTTTTCTGCAACTCTTTCATATGAAATGAAGATTTTCTTCTACACGTTTACATTCTTTCATATAAAACAGAACCTAAGATAAACAAGCATAAACGCTCATTCTTTAAAAGCTTTTCTTACAATGCTGCGTCATCATGAAGTCTCACTGTAACAAAATCGACAATGTTTTTGTCATTTACACRTTTATAGTTTATTATTTCAGCATGAAGTTGGAATTGTTACGAGGATAAACCGTCTGCCTGAAAGAATTATCATGAGGGAAAAATGTAAAGGAAGTGCTTTTATTTTGTAGCAGTTTATTTAAAAACGTGATTTGTGTTCATGTCTGTGAAAGATGTTTTGAATGTATATTTGTGCATTACGTTATTGATCACTAACAGTATGAGTGATCACATCACATTTTTATTTTCATTCCAGTATTTTTAGGATATTTAAGACTACGTGTATTGTATTTGTGATCAGATTACGCTGAATTTGTTTTTTTTTTGTAAATATCAAATATGCTCTTCCATTCCTACCCTGGGTTTGTCAGGAAAAGCAATTTTTTAATAATTTCAAGTAAAAAAACACCAGCCAGTATTTAATAAACAGGTTGTAACAGTGAAGCATCGATGTAATAACAAAAAGGGTAAGAAACGATTGTTAGTTCAGATCCATATTTACTTGACTAAAAACAAAATACTGTTTATTTTTGTTACTATACCAGTATTGGTTTGATGAATTTGTTTTAAAATGTATTTTATATTCATACATTTTTACAGGTGGACTGTTTCCCACATTTTGAATGGATTTTGCGTTTAAATATACCAATGATAGAAATGTTTCTGTAGATAAATGTAAATATTGAACAGATGTAAAAAGTATGTTCTGAAAGCAATTGAAGTGTTTTATAATATCCCTGGTTTGGTCTGTGTTTTAGCCTTTCAGCAGGCTTTAAGAAATGCTTAAACTGTAAAACAGGATAATGTTTTATTTAAAGGTCAGGTGTTTGTGTTTTCAGGGTTAAATAAAATCATCTCTGCCGTGTTGTCCTCCGGGAGGCGTTGAGAGGAAATGATCAGGGTGACAAAACAATAATGGTTGAGTTTCCAGCAGCTGGGGGTGGGTAATGTACAAAATCTAATTTTTGAGCTTTATATCACGTTATGTCATTCTCTCATCAAAAACATACCCAGAGTGTTGCTCTGACTCATTCATGCATGTTTGAGAAATTCTTAAATCTCCTGTGGTGCTGCTTAAACTCTTGGTACAAAGCTCCTCCCTGGAGATCAGTCTGCAGCTGAGCTCCCTCCACACAGAGCATTGTTGTGAAGATGTGCTGAAGTGGGAGTGTCTGAAACAGTAGGAGGTTCTAAAAGAGACAGTGGCCAATTTCAAGGTTTAGATAGATGATGATGCAAAGTCAAATTTATTTATGAGTAAACAGCATTTTCATAACAACTGATGGTAAAATAGTTACTTGATTATGGTACAGAATCGAACTATGTGCCTGGAAAATATACCCCCCCCTAATGTGCAAAAATACAGAAGCAGTTAGAGAACATGACACTGCTCAACATTTCATATTAACAGTGTTTTTAAATTTATTCCAAGACACAGGAGAGATGACAGACGTTACATACAGAACATAACTGTTTAATAAATTATCAAATAAGAAAAAAAAAAACCACGAGAGAAAATCTCGAATCTGGACTGACGTGGTGCATTTTCCTCCTCAGCACTGTACACTGCCTAAATCTACATGTGGCACCATCAACCCCCCTCCCCTCCCCTTCCCTTCCCCTCCCGCCTGCCTCAACACAAGCGACCGATATCGTTCTTGGTGCAGCCCTGGCTGCAGCACATCCCCGCCACGCCCAGAGAAAAGTTCCTCTTCTTCCTGCTCGACACGAACCAGTCGGCGGCGTCCTCCTGCTCTCCTAGAACCACCGACCCGCCCGGTGTGTCCGAGACCCTCGAAGGGGACCGCTGCCTGTCGCCGGAGGTTCTGTAAAGGGTCAGGAGGTCTGACAGGGAGGAGGAGGGGACGGGGAGAGGAGAGCGCTCTGCGTCGAGCTGCCAGCTCTGCCGGTCGTCTTCCGCTGGGAGATCACTGAGGGAGGTCCACTGGAACGGGTCTGCAGAGACAAACAAAGTGCTCTTAAATGTGTTTTTTTTAAGTAAACACAAACAAAGCTGGCTACAGATTTAAATGAATAAGAGCTTTAATGTAAAAAAATGAAGCTGACTGATGCAGAAACAGTTTTAATTTTTTACAAACTGTTCAAAGTAAACTTCTAATAATACAAAAACAAACCATCTATTCTCCTCTCTTTCTAATTTGTTTACGCTCCCTGAGATATATTTAACACACGTAAAAACTTCATGAGCGTTAACTCACCTGCGTCGCCCTCSGTGGATCGTTTCCACCTCGAGCCGCCGCAGGTGAAGATGACAGCTCTGATGAACTCTCTGCCGCACAGTTTCACCCCGTAGTCCCTGGGCACCATCATCCTGCTCATCACATCAGCTCTCACGCTGCTGCACACGCCTCCGACGCACACCACGGCCAGAGCCACCCTCCACAGCATTTTCTTTCTTCTCTCACTCAGGCTCAAACGGCTGCTTTGGGCTTCACAGGTGGGCTCCACCTCAGACCTGCTCCCGAGCGACAGCAGACTTCAGGCAGAGCAGCAACGAGCGCTTCAGCTGCGTCTCCCCCGTGTTGTTCTGCTCGTCTCTTGTGGCCAGAACCTTATATAGTTCACTCCTGGACCTGTGGGTCCGAGCCCCCCTCCCTCTCTCCTTTACGTGAAACAACCACACACGCGTCATTTAGGCCGGCAGCAGTGACGTACTTGGAGTTATGTTTTTGTTGTAGTAATAATATTAAGTGTGAGCACGTCGCACTCAAGGCATCTCAGCAGGAAGAAGAAAAAGATTGATGAGGATTTTCCAAACAAAACTTCTTGAATTTAACTGGCATCTTGACAAATCAAGTTACTGAAACATTTTTTTTTATTGGCTTTACAACTTGAACACAAAAGTCAATTTAAAAAAAAAGTGGATGAAAGAAAAATTACAATCAGTTCTTATTACTAAAAGAACGTTACAAGCTTTGGTATGATGTTCTAAATATTTAATTAAAGAAAATAACGGAACAGAAACWCAAAGATCAGCTGATCCAGTAAACTGAGCTAAAGGTAGGAGAATTAAAAACTTTTCTGATAGGAATGCATATYGCCYGATGCTTTTCATGCTGGAGTTTAGACTAACAATCATCTTATTCTGAGAATGGACGAAGCTATAACAGCAATAAATTAGGAAAATGTTTAAAAACATACTAATGACACTTTCTAGTTTCTAGGCAGCTTTTATCAGCAAGTAATCAACAGAATCTGATGGATCTCACAATGGATCAGTTCATAATGTACCACAGAAATGTAACTATCAATACTTAATATATCTTAAACATTTTACATCAGCCAATCTGCCATAAAGATCCTGTTCTAATAATTAAAAAAAAAGAATGACACCAATGTTTTGACTGGAACAGCTGCTTATTTCACTCTTGTTTCTGTAGCTTGAGAGTAAAATCGTCTGATYGTATCTGACAGCTGTTCCCTACCTTAAAGCTAAAGCTGCACAGGTGAACGCACCGAGCGGACGGGCCCAGATTTTGACTGGTGTCACAACCGATGCGTCACTTCTCCAGGAAGGAGACGAGGCCGCTTTTAGCGCGCCGAGCCTTCTCGATGCTGTCAAAGGTCGGGGCCCCGTGAGGTAGGTCCAGGCGGTCCTGCTCAGATGCCATGATGTTCTCGGCCTCCTCTACGGGYGCAACAGAACACAAACACAATGTGAGGCAAATTGGCGTGTGCGTAAGCAGTCATTTCCTCCCTATAYGTCTGTGAAGAAAACAGCTATTTATTGTTAATCACTGGCTTCTAACATTCAGCACTTATGGCAGGAAATAAACTGTAGCCGTGATGTCAAACTGTTTAGTTTTTGTACTTTTCCAAACAGCACAATAGAGCATGATGATTATTTTAACAGAAAACCTGCTGAGAGAATGAGCAAATGTTACCTGAGGAGCTTTTTTTTTCTGTAAACAGTAGCCGCATTGTGTGAAAACTAATAAAATAAATTTTCAGCAAGTGGATTAAATTTTGTTCAGCTCAGACCCACTGACCTCACAGGTCTGTACTGTTTCCTCAACTATCTAAATGTATAACCAAAGCCTTTACTTTAAAACTTGTTTTATTGAACAAAAACCTACAGCTACAGGCGTCTCTGAGGACCCTGACCTATCCTTTCACTGATGCTGTCTTACATCAATCACTAAAGAGGATTTATGGTCTTGGTGTAATTTAAATTATGCATTACTTTTATTATGTTCATTTGCATCCTTTTGCTTTTTTTCTGGAAATAAATAACATTATTGACTGAAATGACTGAATGAGTTGGATCACAATTTATTAAAAACATTTTTTTTTCTTTATTTGCTGTAAATGTGTGACAGTTTCCTCACCTTTCATACGATAAAACAGTGTTCCGTAGGCGCTGTCCATCTGGTAGGCCAATATAAAACCAAGAGGAATAATGGGAGCCAGCAGGCCTGGTTTCTTCCTTTTAATGGCTCTGAAAAAAATAAAAATAAAAAAAAATATTTAATATATTTCTATTTATTGGTTAAAAATGTCAAAGCACACAATTTTATTAGATTAAAATGCTGGCATGAGGAACTTGATCATTTCTGGGATTAGAGACTGAAAAACATTGACAGGATGTGAAGCAAATCAGAGGAAAAACCTGTTTGATTTTAGCGCCACCTATCATTAGCTAGGCATTAAAGGCTAAGTTCACACCGCAGGTCTTAATGTTCAATTACAATTTTTTTCCTGTGATTTTTTTTTTTTTTTTGCTTGATCGTTCACATTAAAATTTAAATACGACTTCTATTACACTCCACTCTACAGCCCTGAAGTGACCCGCATGCACAGAAGATGACGTGATGTCATTCACTGCATGCTGTGTTTACGTAGTATTTACGGATGTGTATTCATTCCGAAGTTGTGCAATTATTTTCTGGCATGATTGTTTCATCAAGTCTTAACATTTGATCTTTCCAATTCTGTCTACAGCACAGAATTGCATTTCTGGAAAAGGAGTGACGTACTGAAAGTAGAAACAAACTCAAGTTACCGTGATATCACGCTCGTATTGATATGATAATAGCATGATGTTGGTAAGTGACCTAAGTTGAACAAGAAAAAAATCTGATTTGTCACGTTCAGRCTTTCATAGAAAATTAAAAATGGGTCACATATCAGCTAAAATAGTCATATTTAGGCCACTTTTACCTGCAGTGTGAATGTAGCCAAAGCTGTGTARCATTTAAAGAACATCAGACAGCAGAGGTAAAGGCCACTGGATGACCAGGTGTGATTACTTTGAATCTGCAGCTGTGAAGAATCACACTTTACGGCTGCGTTATTCCTGGATGTGAGCTGAAAACAGATCTCACCCTGCTGTTAGTCCCAGTGTGGCCATGGCAAAGAAAGAGCCRAAGTATTTGAGAGACTCTCTGGACCAAGCGATCTGCATCGCCGTCTGCCTYTCTCTCATCTGGTTCTGCATGAGGATTTGACGCTCCAGCTACGCAGACAGACACACACAGATATACTAGAATAAAGCATTTTAAAACACAATCCCTTCATTTCAGAGGCTCAAAAGTAATTGGACAAATGAAATAAATGTACATAAAATGTTTATTTCWTATACTTGGTTGAAAGCCCTTTGTTGACAAAGACTGCTTGAAGTCTTGAACTCGTGGACATCATCAGATGCCGTTTCCTCCTCTTTAAAGCTCGGCCAGGCCTTTACTGCAGGGGCTGTTTGTTTGTGGGCCTTTCTGTCTGAAGTTTARTCTTTAACAAGTGAAATGCTCAAGTAGGTTTAGATCAGGTGACTGACTTGGTCAAATGCTTTAATAAACTGTTGGGTTGTTTTGGCTTTATGTTTTGGGTCATTATCCATCTGTAGCATGAAACGATGACCAATCAGTTTGGCTGCATTTGGCTGGATCTGAGCACACAGTATGTCTCTGAATACCTCAGAATTCATTCRGCTGCTTCTGTCCKGTGTCACATCATCAATAAACACTAGTGACCCAGTGCCACTGGCAGCCATGCATGCCCAAGCCATCACACTGCTTTGCTGTGTTTTACAGATGATGTGCTATGCTTTGGATCATGAGCTGTACCACGCCTTTTCTCTTTCCATCATTCTGGTAGAGGCTGATCTTGGTTTCATCTGTCCAAAGAATGTTCTTCCAGAAAGGTGCTGCTTTTTTAGAGTTTTTTTTTAGCAAGGTCCAGTCTAGCCTTTTTATTCTTGATGCTTATGAGTGGCTTGCACCGTGCAGTGAACCCTCTGTATTTATGCAGTCTTCTCTTTTTGGTAGATTTGGATATTGATACACCTACCTCCTGGAGAGTGTTGTTCGCTTGRTTGGCTGTTGTGAAGGAGTTTCTCTTCACCATGGCAAGTATTCTGCTATCATCACTCACATCTGTTATTATCTTCTGTGGTCGTCCAGGTCTTTTTGCATTGATGAGTTCACCAGTGCTTTCTTTTTTTTTCAGGATGTACCAAACTGTAGATTTTGCCACTCCTAATATTGCAGCAATTTCTCGGATGAGTTTTTTTCTGTTTTTGCAGCTTAAGGATGGCTTGTTTCACCTTCATGGAGAGCTCCTTTGACCACATGTTTACTTCACAGTAAAACCTTCCAAATGCAAACACCACACCTCAAATCAACTCCAGGTCTTTTATCTGCTTAACTGAGAATGACATAATGAAGGGATTGCCCACACCTGCCCATGAAATACTCTTTGAGTCAACTGTCCAATTACTTTTGGTCCCCTTGGCACATGTTAAGAAGCTGAACTCCTAAACCCTCCATACAATTTTATTGTGGATACCCTCAAATGAAAGCTGAAAGTTGGGACTTACAATGTCCATTATGTAATTATAACTTGAATATGTTTCAATAAACAGTTAAAAAAAACTTTGTCAGTGTCCAAATACTGTAGATATGGACCTAACTCCAAATGCATGTTATCATTGACTGTTTGCAACTGCATTTATGGTTTAAACTTGTGTTTTTTTTGTAAAGTAGGCAGAACTTTTGTTGTAAACTGATGCTTATAAATAAAGTGAATTGAATTTGGCAAAACAATCATATCTGCGAAGGTGAAAACGAAAGCAAAGGATAAGTTTGTATATTTGTTAAATATTTATGACATTAATAAATGAAACCATAGAAAGCAGAGAGCGACTGATTGAGCCACAGACAAAAGCGAGGGTCACAGGGACCAGAGGTCCTGGTTCAGGAACCTGACGTTCCAGCTGATGAAGCCTTTTGTCTGCTGTTTCTCACCTGACGCACAGACCAACCTCTACGTCCACACAAACACGCACATCCTGCATCCTGAAGCTGACATTCTCCAAAAACAGCCTTTTATTCTCAAACAGCAAATGTGTCAAAGACGAGCTTTTGTTTCCACCAAAGAGGAAAGTGACTCCAACTTTGTGACGATACAAAGGTTAAAGAAAAAAGTCCCGTTCAGCTGAGCTAATGACATAAATTATACCATCTGAGAGGAGCTGCGTTTTAATTCAACAAATCAAACTGACAAGTGTTTTTGCGTCACCAATTTGGCACTTTGATATGTTTAATTGTGGTGATGAATGCTTTTTTTGTATGCCTAACTTTTCCTAAAAAGTTTCAAGCTAGTTAAAGGAAAAAAAACATCTAATTTGTTCATGAGATGAAATGAAACCTCTGAACAGTGAACAAAGAAACGACCTCTGTTTGAATGAGTCAGAGGCAATTTAACAATATTTTATGAAGGAGTGGGCAACATATTGGCCAACTCCCAGTTTGAAATGTCTTTAACTTGTCGGAGGCTTGAGTGATGACTTAATCCTCCCTCAGTRTGACAGAAGGTCATTTGACTGGAGTAATTAATGTCACGAGCCAAGTACAACCCCAATTCYAATGAAGTTGAGATGTTGTGTAAAACATAAATAAAAACAGAATACAATGATTTGCAAATACTTTTCAACCTATTGAGTACACCACAAAGATAAGATATTTAATGTGCAAATGGATAAACTTTATTGGATTTGCAACAAATATTCACTCATTTCATATTTGATGCCTGCAACATGTTCCAAAAAAGCTGAGACAGGGTCAATAAAAGACTGGGAAAGTTGAGGAATGCTCAAAAAACACTTAACATTAACCTATCTCAGCTTTTTTTGGAACGTGTTGCAGGTATCAAAATCAAAATGAGCAAATATTTTTAAAAAAAAAACAAGGAAGTTTATCTATTAGAACACTAAATATCTTGTCTTTGTAGTGTACAAATAGGTTGAACAGGATTTGCAAATCATTGTATTCTGTTTTTGCTCATGTAATGTTTTTTATTTATGCTTTTTACGTTTTACACAACCTCAACTTAATTGTAGTGTGATTGGATATGGGGTTGTATAATACTCTGTATCATACAACCAATTTATCAATTGCTGCCAAAGGTGATAATGTTTCTGTTACTTTGTCTAGCACTTGGAAAACATCTCACAAATCCACCCCCCGAGTCCGAGGATGGCCACCATGAGAACTGACAGCCTAGCAGCCACAGCTCAAGGCTTGACAATTGAGGCGTGGATCATTGCCCACTTAAACTCAATGTCCCCTCCCTCAGCTGGGATGTGGTTAAAGTTCTCTTGGAGGTGTAAGTTTAAGATATTTCTGACAGGTTCTTCTTCCAGGTGTTCCCAGTAAACCCTCACTACACGTTTGGGTCTACCAGGTGTGTCTGGCGTCTTCCCCCGCAATCTGATCAAACTCACTACCAGGTGGTGATCAGTTGACAGCTTGGTGTCAGCCAAGCATGGTGGGATACTCTGAAATGCTGTTTGACGCTTTGGCACAACAACAGTCAGAGTTCATATCCCTACCCAAAGGTGCAGGGAAGCTAAGCTACCCTCTCATCCACTGGAGAAAACTTCAGGTACCAAGTCAAGGGGCCACAAGTAGATCCACACCAGCTGTGCGCCTCTCACTATGGGCAACTCCAGAGTAGAATCAGGTCCAGTCCCTCTTGAAGAGATCAGTTCCAGAGTCCATACTGGTTTTTTTTCTGCTCTCGGAGGAGTAAGACGCTTTTTCCTTCTCTCTTGCCCTTCCTTTTCTTCCCTGCTTTGCTGCTTGGAGCCTTCTCTACATTTTTCATCCGAAACCAGAAATTATGGATATTTTTATTTTTATGGATTTGGTTAGCTGGTCTCTTAATAAAATTTTTGGAACAAAGGTTTTTCTTCTTCCATGGGAGGACAGGTCAAAGGTGGGACCTCTGTTCTTCTCTGTTCTGGATTTATGTCTGGACTCTGATCACTGGATTCTACAGATTGGCTTGGTGGTCTCCTGGTGTTCTACAAAACAGCATCGGTGGCATTTCATCTCCTGGCTGACTGACCAATTTGATGGATGGCCGTATACTATCAGCACTCGGACATTTGCCTTGAGCGAGCTGGACTCGGTCTACAAGCAGTTCTATTGAGGGTCGCGGGCCGGCTGTAGTCCCTGGACTTGCTGGCCAGATGGAATTGATCTTGGAGAAGCTGATGGATCGGCTCAGCGGAATTGTCCACACTATTTTGTCTGATTGGATTTGGCACCTTGAGATGTACCAGCAGAACACTAAAGCAGACGGAAAATTGTTATTTGACTCTTCTGTTCCCAAAACAACTGATTACAGATTCGGCTCTCCCCTACATGGCATTACGTGGACAAGGCTCTACCCCACACCTCCCCCCCTCCTCTCACACCTGTCTTATCTGGTTTCCGGAGCAGGCTGAGGGCCACACAGAATGAACAGTTACCATCAATATTCTGAACTATGGCTGCACTGGTTTAGGGGACTGGATTCTTCGGGGCCCCCTAAACTCACTCACTCCTCTGGCTAATAAATCTGCCCTATGCAGAGGTTTATTTCATAAACACCATAGTGTGTCACAGTGTTGATATAATATGATGTTTTTGTTTTTTTTYCCCCTTATCTTCCCTTGTGTGGTTTTTCAGTTTTTCGGTGTTAAGGTAGCGCAGCTATGTGTGCTGCATGACCGGCTCCACCTGTTCCCCCTTTCTTAACCGCCCCCTCCCCCCTTCCCTGAATGTACAGCACCTTGTGAATTTATTTCTGTGAAAGGCACTATATAAATAAAACTTTGCTTGCTTGCTGAGGTGAGCCCTATATCTAGTCTGTACCTCTCAACCTCACACAAGCTCAGGTTTCTTCCCCACCAGAGAGGTAACGTTCAAAGTACCACAAGCCAGATTTGGCAGGCTAGGGTCAAAACACCAAGGCATCTGCCTTTGGCTACTGCCCATGACTTCATGCATCCAACTCACCTCCTGCAGGTGGTTGGCCCACAGCCTGACCATGTTACTTGGTCAGGCTGAGCCTGRCCAGACCCCATGGGTAGAGACCTGGCCACCGGTGCTTGCAGACAAGCCCCTCCCCAGACCTGGCTCCAGGGTAAGGTTCCAGTAACCCACGTCCGGGCAAGGGACACTGAGTTCCTTT